GGGGGGGGGGGGGGGCAGCTGAGTGATGTTCACTTCTCGAGATGAACTTTCACGCGGAAAACCCACGTACAACACCTGGAGTCCCGTGTTCCTCTGCGCGAAGGGGAGTAACTCCCGGTTGTGAAAACAGCGGGCTCCCATCTGGGTGGGATAGGACAGAAAAGTTTATCCTTGGATTGCAAATATGGCGCCGGTCACGCCGTAACCATTCCGTTTCCGTATTCGTATATTTCATTCATAGGCTTGCATGAAAAGTGATGGTGATGGACTTAACGGATCACAGTTGTGATAGATAGGAAAAAGGGCCGATGGCCGAAGGGGTCGGAATTCCGATAATTGTAAGGGCGAAGATCTCACACCGGCGAGGAAATCATCCAAACTTCAGCAGGATGAAAGGGGACTCCAAGGGTTGTACGTGGGGACGTGTAAAGACTGGGAAAGAGCGTATGCTGCTTATAGCGATGAGAGGGCCACTGAGTTTTAGGGCCGTGAATGAACCCGGGAGTTCTTGCATAAGATTTCGTGGAAATTCTCCACGGGTCGGCTAGTTGGAAATTAATATAGGATAGCAGGAAATTATGATGGGAAAAAAACAGTCTTTGACGCGATTACATACAGTAAAGCCTTTCCCTTTCCAAAACCGTTCCTCATGTTCAATGACCTATGGACGCCTTGTCAACCAAACGAAATGCTTCAACGGTTAATTCCCAAGAGAGGGAAAGGTGAATCGCATTAGAGATTCCATAGACGGATACCTTTCTTCTTCCCCCCCCCCCCCCCAAACACGCCCCACCAACCAATAAGCGATTTGACAGACCGACACACGTCTAAGAGAGGGAAAGGTGAATCGCATTAGAGATTCCATAGACGGATACCTTTCTTCTTCCCCCCCCCCCCAAACACGCCCCACCAACCAATAAGCGATTTGACAGACCGACACACGTCGGAGGCGAGGATGACCATTGCCCGTCAGCCAGGCAGTTCCGCACTGTCTCCCCCTTCAAGGTGAAACCGGGGAGGCAGGAGTAATGAGCTTGGTTCTCCGTCCAGTTCACACTGCTGTATATCGGCTGCTCGGGGTCTCCACATGGCATCCATTCTGTGGGTACAGCAAAAACTCATTTCTTCCTTGGAATTCTACCTTTCGACAACGGTATGCACGAGATAAAAAGAAAGTAGGGAGTTAACTTTTTTTTAGGTGGAGGTGCAGAAATGTCAAGATTTCGATCGAACGTAACATTACAATTTTGTATTTTAACACTCTAATAACTGCAGGGTGGGCAAAACTATGGCTCTTCCAAAATTTATTCACGACATGAGAGACCTTGAATCCATTGAAGAGCAATGCATTTGAATACTCCGACTCTTCGGCAAAGTCAGCGATAAAAATTATCCAACATCACCTCCACCCTCTGGGACAATCTTCGCCAAACGCGACCGCCACTGGTAAATGAACAAGTATAAAAATTATTGGGAAACAGCATTAAGTCTTATCATGTAAGCGCTCCCCGAACCAAACTGCCAAATCAATAAGGCCAATTCAATGGTCACATGTCAGGTTCTATCACGTCAGGCATGTCCAGAGGGAATACGGCAACATTTATATGAGACCTCCGGTATGTGACGCCATCTTGTGCGAAGACTATTGAACCTAGGAGACAGACCATACGTATGTATGCACACTCGCGTTTACGTAATTTCCAGAGCACTTCAGGTAGAGGTTTTTGGAAACTCCATCTTCCGAAATCGGTGGTTTTACAAACGAAGAAACTAAAAAATAAAAGGCTATCTCCCAGAGATTTTTGGACAGGGCAAATGATCGGTGACAGTCAATGTTCGAAACAGCGGAGATATTGAGCATTTCTTTTCACGGACCAAGGTGTTGAAACATCGCACTTCTCTGATTTCTAGTTGTCTCTTTTCGGCCCTCCTCATCACATCGTTCTCTTCAGCAACGGTACAGAGAAATAAAAAGTAACCGCCATTCCTACCCCTGAAGGCAACAGACCTTGAGAGGCGAAGACCTGGACCTCGCAGAGCCGCAGGTGCTCCTCCGTCTGCCGTTCGTCCCTGATGTAGACGATCTGCCCAGTCGTCCCCAGCGCACGGTTGCATCTGAACATCATCGTTTCCAAGGGGAAGGTCCCCGAGAACCTCACGCACTCCTGGTACAGCGCCGGCTTCTCCTCCTGCACATCCATCACGAACACCGTGAACGCCTGGTACGTTCCTGCGTCGAAAAACGAGAAACGTGTCATCCCACGCGTCCATACCTCGAGGCGTCATTAATATTCCATAGAAATTGTTGCAACGACGGAAACTCGTGACCTCCCACGTTCCATCCTTCTCCACTCCCCTTATCAAATATTTTTATTGCACGCTCTCCCCCCAAGCAAATGATTAAAACAATAATGGAACGAGAGACTAGAGTCGTGGAAAAACCCGGGGGCTCGTGCCCCAAGATCAGACACGCAAGGTCAATCACAACCCTCATTTCCCCCACCCCTTTCCTACCCACCCCAGCAGGACTTCAAAGATTAAAAGTTAAGCAAAAACCACAAAAAGTGCGTGAAACGTCCCTCTATAAGCGGCCTACCACGACGAGGTGCTTCTTCCTCATCTACAGCCTACCAAGTCCTAAAAAAAATTAATTCCCCCCCCCCCCCCTACGATCAGCGTAGGAATAGAACGAGGGGAAGTGAATCCGTCCCTATGAATCGAGCTGGAATCGAGGTTCAACGACTTTCTCTTCGATGGCAAAGAGATTAATGCCATCTTGCATCAGAGCATACACCCAAGCAGAAAAGAAAAATAAGTATGTCAGCGGGAAGACGAGTCCGACCGGCAGATTACCATAATTGCTGGTCTCTGCGAGCACCAAGACCCATAGGGCAACCTCTTAGGCTCACGCTCCTTACAAGTTAGGTGTGCTGAATGCTGTACGTACGGTCCCCCATGTTTTTTTTCCAGGAAAACTAGGATCGCCGTCATTCAACGCATATTTAATTCTTTCGTATGCGGAAGGGAACCAGGATGGCATTCAATTCTTATTATGCAAGGACAGTTCCGCATCCTCCCGTGAAATTTCTCACCGTGAAATCGAGAAAGGACCGGTCGTGACTGGCGGATGAGAAGCCTTTTTTTACGGCCTCATGAGATGTGCAAAAGGCGGTCCCGGACCGACGAGCACGGCGGACGGAAACCTCCTTAGAGTCTCATAAACGTGACAGACCCGCTCGAGACTAAAGATAGGACAGAGGAATGCGGGGTAGATGCACCGGCATGAAAGAATACTAGAAAAAAATACCCACTTCAATGAGGATGGGCCCTAGCAGCGGCTTACGAGTCCAGCGAGAAAGGAGAGCCCACGTGCCGGCGCCCGAACAGCCGAACAGAACCGCTCTACAACCCACCGTTTGTCTGTCTCAACTCCACACGATCCTCCCATTGGGGATTTCGTTCGAATTCTCTCGAGTTTGAGATTTCGCGATCTCTCACGGCCGTCTTCCACGGTAAGCATCACAAAACTGCATCGCCATGGACGACGCCCAGCGATAATTCGAAAATCGATGCGATAAGGACGCAAGAGTATATACCTCGCTCGATACGGATGCCGACGTAAGTAACATTGTACCTTCGTCCCAGGTTCACCAGCCACCACCTGCATAAGAATCCACAACAAATCAACAACACGTGATCGAAATCGAAATAAAAGGGATGAAATGTGCCTCACCTCGACGACTTCTTGTTCCTCTGTGTGTACGAGCACGTCTCCGGGTCTCCGTCCACGGCCAGATCCGATCGATAATTCATTAACGTCAGGCTCTGCTGGCTCGCCTTTCCATGGGCCAAGTCGAACTCTACGACCCAAATTTCGACATTTTTTTCCTTCTTGGCCGAGGAAGAGTCGAGAGATGAAAAGCATTGAAAGAGGGTGATGACAACGATCATAGACGCTCGAGGTCGTTTCGAGCATGCTCTGGATCATAAATCATCTCCATGACGACGTTTTTATATTTTTAATGTTCTTTTTCTCCGAGGTTTTCAAGCGGAGTGTCATATACAAGGTGCAGCCATAAAGTAATGCCTGTTCTTAGTTTGCCAAGCAAATAATGCGAAGTTCTGACTGGTGTGGGCTGTGCAGTGTTGGTAGAGGCGCGGCCTAATTGAATTAGTAGTGGCTGCCAGTTACATTTTTTTGCCAGTTCGTAAGCTGTGTCGGAAAAGAACCCTGTTTTTGATACTTGTTAAAATTGTTGAAAGTGAGTGATTTCACGAAAAGAACAGCAGCGTGCGGTGATCAATTTTCTTGCCGTGAGAGGAGAAAAATCATGTCGATGGCCACGGATGTTAAAAGATGACAAGAAAACAAGCTCGTATCTACGCATGCGAAAATCTTCTAACGCGATATCGGGCGGATCTTGACTCTTTGGGACGAGTCATCACCGAAGAATTTAACCTTGATTCTGCTGTTCAACCCGGAAATCAAACTACAGTCCAAATAACGGAAACATGAGGACTCGCCTCCACCACTAAAATTTGGTGTCGATGCGACGGAAAAAAAAATCCTATATGCATGTGCATATAGGATTTTGGGAGGAGGAAGGTCCCATTATTCTGTTCCAAAGGGTATCACGATAAATGGAGAGGTGTATCGTAATATTTTGAGGGATGACCTGTTCCCGGCGATCGCAGAAAAAAGACCGAATCTGGTCGGAAAATTCATGCTGCACCACGATAACTCTCCAACTCACCGAGCACGAGTTGTACTGAATATTTTAAAATAAAAAATTCCCTTGAAACTATATGCCGCTCTCCCTACTCCCCAGACCTGGTACCCCTGCGAATTTTGGCTCTTTTTTTAACTTAAAGAATCACTTGCGGGGAACTCCTGTGCCTGCCAGATCGGCACTCGTTTCTCCAGTTTTCCAGTGGTTTCGAAATACCCCGAAAGTATAGTTCGCCCAGTGCTTCCAAAAGTGGGTAGAGCGACGGCAGGCATGTTTGGACAAAATATGATATTATGTTGAAAAGAAGGATAAATTTGAAGCGTATATTTGGATTAGTCTTTTTTTCATAGCAAAACAGGCATTGCTTTATGACTGTACCTCGTATATATCCTGTTACATTTGCACACAAAAGGCCGGGCGAAAGCAAAGGGTACGGCAGCGAAAGGCAGGGTCATGCCATTCACCCACACACCGAGGCTCTTTAGGGAAGCTCAAAGATAACACCACACCGTGAAAGAAAACGAGGCTCATCTTTTTCTTTCGGAGGTCACAAAGTAACCTTTTGTTCTCCGGCCTTCGTGTCTCAATCCTTCAAATATTTATCGACTAATCCCCCCCAATATTGCGAAAATACAGGAAAAGTCACGGACCACACGTGGGCACCGTCCCATTCCACATCCCATTCTCCAAGCACATCCGCTGACTCGACCCGAAGAGGACGAACCCGTCCGCGCACTGGTACGTGGTCAGGCCCCGGTAGAAGTAGAAGGTGGCTTTGTTGATGATCCAGCCGTTGGCAGGCTGGCCGGGTAATCCGCACCGGAGACCACTGGCACCTGGGAAGCATAAAAATTTACACGAAGAGATCTAGAGATCCGGATGAGCTTCTTTGGAACTCGGACGCAGAGATGAAGCGAGCGAGAACATCCTCTCGTTATGGTTAGAAAAAAAGACAAAAAATGGAGCCCTCACGAGCTCCCTCAGGGGACACTGGGTATTCCTTCCCTTCTCGGTCATGAATCTCCTTTCCGCAAAAGAAAAAGCTCGATCCAACAAGAAAGAGGAAGAGAGCGTGGGAGACGCGTTGCTCGTCATGGAAAAACGTGCGACACGATTATTTTTCCTTATTGACTCTCATATTTCCTTTCTTGAGGTCTGTTACCCAAATAGGTCATTATACGTATTATTAAGTCGTGAGCGAGGGAAAGCACGATCGAGTAGAGGGTCACCGGTTGATATAGGTGTTGACTGAATAACACGCAAAAAAAGCGAAAAAAATCGCGCCATGCTGTAAGGGAGGTTTGTCCTGGCTTCCATTCACTGTAGCCTATATAAGGTTTTTAAGGCCCTCATAGAACTTCATTGGTACTCCGAAAAATGAGACTCTCTCTACAGAACTTGGTTAAGCCCAGGATGCCAATAAAATGTGTGACCGAAACCCGGATGTTTTAGCGTGCGTCTTGAACGAAGTGGAGTGCTCTGATTGTCGAGTGGATAGGTCGAACCTAAGCTGAGATGATTGCTCATTTCTTTAAATGTCACGGGACAGCAGTCTTGGCAATCGTCGCTCTGCCACATGAATGTGTTTCCCTTTCACATGCCAAGACGTGCATGGCACCAGCATTCACGTTCCCCCTCTTTCAGTCTGAAGGTGCTTCTGAGAAATGGATCTACTTCCCCCCCCTGGTCCCCGACCCCATACCCAGGAGAAACTCATTAAATGCACTACTTGAGTCTGGTTCCCTTTTATCTTGCTTCATTTGCATCTTCCAATTTCGTAAATGGAAATATATTTTGAAACTTCAAAGGATATGACCAATGAAGCTTTCTTAGCTCATCAATGGGCATTGGTAGCGCCCATTACCTTTCTTCTACCCCTTGCGGCGGCAAAATTCAACAGTCTCCAATTCCTCTCTGAGAGCATCGACGTGAATGAAATTTGAAATACCTTTCCTCTCTCAACGCAGAAACACCCCAGCAAATTTGAAGCTCCATCTCCCCGGGGTTGTGGAGATAATTGAATCTCGCTTTTGGGAAATGTAAAACTCGTTCCGGTATTTTTTATTTTTCTCTCCCCCCCCCTCTGAGTAGCCGCTCCTGGGAAATTTTTGGAGGAAAGAGACCAACCAAACGAAAGATGGTGGTGACCTGGAGGTGACAAAGAGTCTCCTTTTTGGTTTCAGTGCACCATTTCGCCATGTAAAAGGAAATTAGATGCCGTTAATTTAGGCTTAGTGCGATGGGCCAGTCCCGTCCTCCAATGTTGCCGGATATCGTGCCTTAGTTATCCCAGAATCATTACTTCATCGGCTTCAGCATCGTAGTCTGGATATTTTCTTTTCAATATAAATAACATTAATGAGCTGAATTCATGGGATAATCAGAGATTAAAGCGGAGTTTTGCAGTGGCCGATCGATTACGTGGAATACGGAGATATCTCATTCGAACATCCCTAAATTAACATGATGGAGGCCATCTTCCATATCATGCGCGCTAAAGGCCCCTTCTTCTCAGAACGAGTCTAGATGATTCGAGGATCTCTGGATAGGCCTAATGGTCCCCGACCGCACCGAAATGGCTCATGCAACTCGTTAAGGACCTAAATTTGGTCTACCGTTACACGTTCTCTGTTAAATGTGCTATGAGAGACTGAATAGGCCTGCGATTGGCCTAACGTTACACGTCCTCGACGAGGTGTCTCGAAGACCAGGGATTAATCATCATGGGCCTAATTGGTCCGTGAGTCGAGGTTGTGTTTCTTTTGAGCGAAAAATGTAGGCCTTGGCCTGATCCGAAGACAGCCCTTCGGTTAGGCCAAGACCGAACGTTAGTGATTTCCGTAGAGAAGGTGGGGGGATGGTGGGTGGGGTTTAAGGTTGAGGAAAGGTAAAACCATTGAAAATTGGGTTTCATATTACTACATCATACTTTGACGAGCGCATGCTTTCATAACGAGTTCGACATTAGGAAGGAAAAGATGTGTCAGTTCATCTTTGAACATCCATTGGAGGCTCAGCAAAGGAACTTCCAAAGACATCCTTTTACAGTCTAACCATGGATGTCCTTGGTTGGAGTCCCCGCCCCGTTGAGGTCCCCCATATGGTCTGTCATCTAGCAATTCATTTAATAAACACAAGTTCCCGCAATATAAGCGGGGGGGGGGGGGGGGGAGAATCCCCCCACCAGAATTGAGGGACGGATTCACTTCCCCTCGTTCTATTCCTACGCTGATCGTAGGGGGGGGGGGGGCAATGATCCCACTACAGTATGTCTACTGATTTCCTTAATGCTAAAAAATTGTTCTGCGGAGGCTCTCCTTCTCTACTCGACAATTTCCCATTTACAAGAAGAAGGAAAGAAGTAATTCCAATTTGTTCATTTGTTGAGAAATGTAACAAAGCTCAAGAACACTACTGTCAATTCTTGCACATTGCACGGAGAGAGAGTGGTTCTCCTTGCCAAGAAAGTCTATTCCTTTCTTATTCGGGTCATGCCACCCTTGGCGATGGAAAAAGTCACTTGATTTAAGAGATAAGGATGGGTAGTTGAGAGTTACATCTCAGTAATACCTTAATTTCCACATTAACGAATCACTTCTAGTTCCTCCCATGAATATGAGTGGGTGAGGTTGTAAAATTGCAGAAAGTATTCCTCCCCATGCTTTGAATATCTGATAACATGCAAATTATGCTCCATAGCTACCTGGGGACTACTATTGCACCCCTCAATGGTCATCCAAAAGCCTTCCCAAAGGGAACCTGCAATGGAACGAAAGAGACGGACATCCAATAGTCCATCCAATGGACATGTCCAAGGATTTTCCTCGGACGAGACATTTAGTCATCCAGGAGATATCCGAGGAGGATATACATTGGATGCCCAAGTGTCCAGGAGGATATGTCCAATGGATTTATTTTGAATAAAAATGGCTACGCGGGTATGTTTGCTGTCGCGATGACATCCTGTATACGTCCAGAGGGACGACCTCCTCTGGACAACTGGACGCGTTTTGGAATATCCATGGCTACTTGGGAAACTTTAATCTGGCACGTTCAATGCAGGACAGTGCATGCGTGAAGATATCGCGCCTTTTCGCATCAAGTGTGCAAATGTTCCGTGTCTTTTAATGTTTCCATTCTCATTCCATTCTGAAATGGCAGCTTCAAGCGATAGCTTTTTCTTCAAGCTTCCTGCAATTGCTTCTACGAGCTCCCATTTTAAATTCAAGCCCAAATTGAGAGAAGAGATCTTTTCATTTTGTGAAAGTGGAACTCTATGAGAAGACGCTTGACATTTAGGTAATTTTTTGCAACACCTTTCCCTGAAAAGCAAGATAGTTGATAGCTTTAAATATGATAATTTTCTGAATTTCATATGAAAAACAAGGAAATTTTCTTCCTCGCTTCATCGGAGAGATGGATGCAATAGCAGCAATTTAAAGAATTATCGCCTGAAATTTGCCAAATTTCCTTATGATATCTCACTTCCAGGGTTTCTATGTGAATTTCTTTTCCTTTGGAAGATGGTAAATTTCCGAGAAAAGAAACTTTCGCGGTGAGGTCGAGAGTTTCCTTTGCAATGCTCTGGGGAATGTATTGGAGAGTTTTCTTTAAATTAATTTTTTTTCTACATTATTTGATCGCCTATGGGAGAAACCCCTCTGGTATGGACGAAGAAGAAAATAAATGGATTGGAAAAAATTAAATGCAAACTGCACCCTCTCCGGTTGAAAGAAGCTTGAGAATCTGGTTGACAATGTAAAGCAGCCGCTGTTGCGAGGCAATTAGCATTGCATTCCCCGTTTGGAATTAACAAGCATAAGGATTTTTAGATGGAATAGAACCAACTAAGATATTCCAGGAACTCGGCTGAAGAATCAAAATTGTACTTATACGTACCCATCACAAGCAGCAACACATGATGAATTTCAACCATCATAACCTGAACGGATTCATGAATTTATATACCACGTATGACATGCCGAACCACGGTGGTATACAGCACTCTGTCTCTCAGGAGTCGCAAGACATGCGTGAATCAGAGGAAAGAGTGGGCAAGAAACCTGCATCATTGAGCACTCTTCTCCCCGTTGGTGAGCATATCATCCATCCGGTTCGGACGACGATTTGCTTATCGCGTCTTTCTTCCTGCCTTATTAATCATTCCCATTGGGGGTTCGGGCACTCCCGTCATCCTTTTCCTCTTAGGCTTCTTGCCAATATTGCCAATTTTGGAATGGATTCCATCTGCGTTCGGCGCTGATGAGGAAGGCCCAATCGAGGTGAAGGCCTACTGGCCCACTGAACGAGGCCCACTGAAGGTGCTCGGTTCGATGGTCTTCATCCCTAGGGAAGCGAAAATGAGGCAACAGCAGAGGAATTCCTTCTCTTGCGTCATAAAAATGAGCGGAGTCGTGAATGAGTCATCCATATTACCGTGTCATTTGCACCAACAAGAACCATCTGCTTACCCATAGTCCATTATTCAAGGTCACAAATTTATCTGCAGTGAAAAGTTTATTTGGACAACAGCGAGTTCTTCCGCTGTAACACTAAAAAAAACTCCGACCAAAAGTTCTTCTCTTCTCCGATCGCTTTCCCAAGGAAACTCCACTTCATTTTCTTTACGAATTTTTTTTTCTTCTTCTTCCAGAAATGTTGCGGCTAAGGGACTGGTTTCCGAAATCCGATCTCTAATGGAACGAAAATGTTATTCCTTTGTCTCAGAATAGCATATTTCATCAATTCCTTGACACCTTACCTTGAACACCTTCCCAACAGACACATAACGTCGCGAAACCGACGTTGCAATCTAGTCGTATCGTCGCGGAACTTGCATCGACGTCACACCAACGTCATTTGACGTCCAAGATTTCTTGAGTCCGAAAGTGCAATTTTGAAAAACGGAATGGCTATTGGCTGGTGATACTTCTCAAAGATACTGCTAATCGCGCAAAAAAAAAACATGTTTTGATGGTCCAACGTTGGTAAAAGATGGGAAAGGTCGTGGGAACGTATATGCTGGGGAACGATGTAGTTAACCCAATGTGGGTCCGCCAGACTACTAGATGGCGGTATAGGTCTCGCGGTTCGCACAGTACGCAAAACTTCACTTCCCTCTTTCCCTGGAATTGTTTCTCGCAGGATTTTTTAGTACCTCGTCATATAGGAGGTCTGACTATAAAGTTCCAGGACTGATTTTTTTGTGAGTCCGTCAATATCACAAAAATTATTTTCATTTCATGGACTGATAGATTAGACTGTTGGGCAGTGTTGTGTCAGCCCTCATCTGACTAGCATCTTCAATGAGAGTTTGGCTGGTAATGTAGCAGCTCAGTGTGTAAGGCGTCTGTCATATTCCCAGAGTGAAGCAATGCTTCATCACATTTGTTCTCAAACCGATCAATACTGCTGCAGTAATCCATGAAACGTTGTTGGTACCTTGCAAAGTTCCTTGTTATGCTCCAATCATTTTGAATGACCTTCAAAGCTTTTAGCAAATAATGAAGACACTCAGATCCACCTCAAACCCAACCATCACCATCCATTCACCCAAGGGATGGCTGAATCAGTCATTATTTTCAATGCCATTTCTACTGCCTGAAAGCCTTGAAAACTATTCAAGATTCTTGGAGTATGACGAGACAACTTGTCAAGACAATTCTTAGAACATTTGATGGATCGCTGCACCTTTATTTTCGGATTGAGGCAAAATGTGACGACGCATTACTTCACTCTTTGAATATCACAGACGCCTTACGCACTGAGTTGTTAAATTGTCAGCCAAATTATTATTCAAGATGCTAGTTAGATGAGGACTGAAACAACACTGCCCAGCAGTCTAATCTCTCAGTCCATGGAATGAAAATAATTTTTGTGATATTGACAGACTCACCAAAAAATCTGTCCTGGAACTTTATTGCCAGACCTCGTATTTCGCCTAGTTTCATTGTGGGAATCATAAACGCGAACACTTCATCATTCGTTAATCACATATTCAACTCAGATTCATGGAGCTCAGGCCATAAACAAGCTCGTAATCCCGATGAGATAGCTTTTCAGAGAAAGGAATGATTCATCCGAAAGGAGATATTGAGTAGTGTTAAATGATCGCGAACTGGTTCGCCCTTTCCTTACTCGATGACAGGATGTGGATGTTAAGGACTGATATCGCGGACAGAACTCGGAACCGAATGAGGTGGCTCTTCCTCTGACATGGAGATCAGTACAGTCAGCGGCAGAATAACTTATTTTTTGGCCTAGACACAGGACACCACGGAGATGCAATTCATGAAGGACAATGACAGAGATTATGACGTCCGAAGCACGTGGCATAACATCGGAATGCGACGTTTTCCAAATCCAGCGGTAGCGTATACATTTTGGGACATGGTGAGTGGCGTATGACAGAAGGAAATTGTCCAATACCAGCTGTGTCCAAGGGGTTAAACGGTAAAGCCATCCTGTCATTCACGAAGAAAGCGCTCTGTGATTTGCGTAATTAATGAAGATCTGTCGAATGATTGGATGGATACATGCATGCATTACAACAGTTGATTCAATTTATTGATTATTTCGACAAGGAGATTTGATTTTTCCATATCCGGAACATATCAAATGTCAGCCGAGGTGCAAAAAAGGCTTTTGAGAGTAATGTATCATGATCGGTGATGCTTCCAGGAATGTATCTGATCATTTAACCATTTGATAGCGCATATGAGCAATCGTATCTGGGCTCTTTTCAGGAGAGCATTTTATCATTTTATTTTTAAAAAAGTTCTGACGCATGACAGCAGGCTATTGCCCAGTAACTGGTGTGTTCATGGGGTTAAAGTACTACGGGAACATAAAAATGGACCCCCCTGAATCGAAATTTCGTTTTATAATTGTTGCAGGAGACCTCGAGAAAGGGTCTTGGAGCCGATTGCTGGCCCTTTCAGGTCGCGTCCTGGGCCATGATCTGAGGGATGGGACACCCGACAGCCCTGTCCAAAAGCAATGTAATGAGACGAAATCACAGTCTGACTGAAAACAAAATTATAAAGGCATATATTTGAGCACTTGAAAATAAAATAACATGGATTGGAAATACCATCAAGGATGGGAAAAACAGGAAATGGGCGGATATGGTAATCGATCCATGTCTCCTATCCTGGTTAGGGATATCTGGGAATGCAAGCACGTGTTAACCACGTTCAGAAATGAATACATGACGTGTATCTTTACGTGATGCATGAAATCATTTAATGAGGCTCGTTTCAAACAGAGCTACATATAGCAAAATGTTTTCAGATATTCGTAAAAAACCATCAAGAATTGCAGCGTCGGTCTGGATCACTTTTCAAGAAATGGACTTCAACAACGCCTCTGGGCTCCAAATTTGCCTGTGCAGGAAATTTGTGTCATCGAGGATGAGACTGGACATGTAGGTGGAGTTGAAGTAAAATAAAATCCATACCAATCGCGTTCAGAAATTGAGAGCGGGTGACCTCCCCAAGTTCCTCTAGATCAGAAGTAAATAGAGTTAATCACAATGTGCCAGGCGTATGGATCCAGACAGGGAGAAACGGGCGTCATACCGAAAGCCTGAAAGAAACTCTTGGTCTGAAAGTGCCCTAGTCTTTCTGTGAAGAAAAAACAAGTTCATCTCAATCGATAAAATCATGCGGTTGGACATGCTAGAGTAAGAAGGGCATGCAAACCAATCGTTTCCAGAAATTGAGGGAGCTCGTCTGACTTCAATTGGGCTGTAAAGAAAAATTGAGGCCAATAACAAAATGTGCAGAACACGAACTTAAAGTGAAATTCAGTTAATCGAGAGCAATACCTTGGGAGAAAATCTTGACATTAAAGAGCCAGTTTTCTTCTGAAATAAATATGCGACACTTATAGCTAACAATAAATAAATAAAATGCCAGGCGTGAAGGACATAAAAACTACTATTAAATATAATTAGTGTTCCACTCGACTGAATAGTGCATTGGTAAGCACTGCAAGTAATGGCAACAGACCCTGAAAACTGGAAAATATGGGCCGAAGGAGTACAACAAAAGCATCGAAGGTGTAAAACCACTTAGTCCAGGCACAATAGAAAGAAACATGAAAAATGAAAGTTACGAACCAGGAATTTGAATAAATTCGCTACGAACTCCCGCCTCTAATTGATCTGGAATATAAAAAAATAAAAATAAGGGTGTGGCAAAAAGAAGAAAGAGGTGAGGAAAAAAACGCCATACTGAAGGCAGTTAGGAGAGAACAAAATCGGATGCCACCAAGCTCAACTAAAAAGTTATAATATATTAAATATCATCAAATAATAGTAGTATGCGGAGAAAGAAACATAAATAAAAGAACATGCCCAAAATCTCAGCAAGAAAACGACATCCAATCTGCCCAAGTTCAGCTGAAAATAAAAAAATAAAAAGTCATGCCAAAACCACAGAAAATATTTTTTTGAAAAATCACAAATAATACAAATAATAATACTTCTTCTTACATATGCCTTTCAGGAATCGTGTACGGTCATCAGCATCCACCAACGCTTAATGAGAAATAATGATGATCAATTTAAAATAGGGAAGGCTGTTAAAAGAAATAACAGTTCTCTCACCCATGCAACTTAGCACGTTGCCACGATCAACTGAGTCCATGCAGGCTGTATGGGAAATAATAATGACTTAAATTAAAAGAAGCCAGGTTGGGGGACTGACAAGAGGAAAATAAATTTCTTTACCGAAGCTTCTCAGCAAGTTTCCTTGATCGACTGGATCAATAAGTGCTGAATGGGAAATAATAATAATTAACTAAATGAGGCAGGGCAGGGGTTCTCATAAAGAGAAAGGCAATTTATTTACTGATGATCCTCAATAAGTTTGCACGATCATCCTGACGCATTCGAGCTGCATTGAAAGAAAATATGTTTGATAAAAAATACGCTTGGTGGGGGAATGACAAAAGGAAATCAATTTTCTTGCCGATGCTGCTCAGGACTTTTTCAAGGATGGCAGCCTCCATGTGCGCTGTATAAGAAATAATAATGTTTAACTTGAGCTTGGTCCGGGGGAATGATAGAGGGAAAAATAATTTTTTTACCCATACTGTCCAGTAAATCTTTACGATCATCCTCATTCACACGTGCTGTATGGGAAATAATTATAAGTAATAGAGGGAGGCGGGCGGTGGACTGGCAAACGGAAAAATTATTTACCTATGCTTGTCAGTAAGTAATCACGATCATCCTGACGCATACGCGCTGTATTGTAAAAAAAAGTAATGTTTAATTAAAAGATGCTGGGCGATGGGACTCCCAAAGGTAAAATCAATTTTCTTACCGATGGTGCCCAGGACTTTTTCAAGATTGGCAGCGTCCATGTGCTCTGTATAAGGAATAATCATGGCCTCTTTAAATTACGCCCTCTTTAAATTAAAGAAGCCGTTAAGAGGACTGATAGAGGGAAAATTCATTTTTTTACCCATACTGTCCAGTAATTCTTTGCGATCATCCTCATGCATGCCCGCTGTATGGGAAATAAGCATATTTGATTGAAAGAGGCGGACGGGGACTCACAAGGGGGAAAAAATTTCATTACTGAAGGTAGACAGTAATCTTCCACCCTCAACAGGGTTCAGCGGCGCTGTTTGGGAAATAATGTTTAATTCAAAGAGGCCAGGTTGTGGGACTGAGAAAGTCAAACTTAATTTCCTTACCGGTGCTGTCCAGTACTTGCTTACGAGCCTCCTCATCCATACATGCTGTATGGGAAATAATAGTGTTTACTTAAATGAGGCCAGCGTGTGCATTCACAAAGGAAAATCAGTTTCCTCACCAATGCTCCTCAGCAAGTTCAGAAGATCGCCATAGTCCATGGCCGCTGTATGATGAATAATAATTTTTAATTAAAATACGCCAGGCGCAGGGATTGCAAAAAAGAAAATCCATTTCATTACCG